GCAGAGGCGAGGTGACGGAGGTGAAAGGTGAGGCAAAGACACAAGGGAGATGGAAGGCGGCAATAGAGCAACAAAACCAACCGTACTCAGCTCACACGAGAACCTGTACCTCAGGCTAGCTAGTCTTAGACTATGTCTTTGAGTGTTTGCTGATGTCTTTATATAGCCAGTTACTGAATTTTCCATTGTTGCGACTCTGTAAAAGTCATCAGAAGTGCTCCTTTTCATCGTGATATTGGAAGCCTTACCTATTTTCAGTCCAAGCCGCCGAGTCAGCCGCTGCATCGGATACAAAAAGCACAGACACGTGAGTTTAAAATACATTTCTTTGTTTTCACACCCTTTTGAAAATCCTTCAAAGCAGTCAAATTCGATCTTCCATGGCTGGTTTATCTTGTTTCGTTTATCGGTTCATTTGGCTCATAGTATGCAGACGCTGAAGTTTGAAAAACCTTTTTTAACATCACTTCCAGAGCAAAATATGAACGCGGGCCAAAACACAGGATCGTTCTCTGGTGCAGAACGTCTCCACTCTCTCCACCTTTAGCGGAATAGCTCCAGAAGTCGATAGGGCCTGTAATAGAAGGAGAAAAAACCTGAGCACCTGTGGAAACCGAAATATAATTAAGCAAACCAGAAAAATTGGAAGCAACGTCGATAATTAAAGGCAGTTGGCACGATAAATCCCCCAAGGCGACTAGGATCAATACTCCTGGCAGGATAGAATTCCGCGACCCTGGGCTGCATAGCGGTTTCCCCGAGGAAGGTGCCCTTATAAGGGCCCTATCAAGCCACAACTTTACGTCCCAAACGCCCGCCCGCCCGCCCACAAATGGACGACCGTTCCTGACGCTCGTATTCATTCATTTGCTAAGCAAATTATGAAGCGAAGGGATTGGTATGAAGCGGCCGTGATGCTGCATGCATACATGGGTACACATACCACCTGCAGCAAGCGGTGATTGAGGCAATGATGTCTACGGGAATCGTCCGCAATCGGATTTACAATCAGCTGTGAACGGAGGCTTTTTCTTTCGCAGAATTTAAATCCGTTCACTCCCCGTTCTTGTCGGCCATTTCTCTCACTATAACAGCGCCCTACTAAGGCATTTTAGGCTAAGTGGAAACCATGCGTGCCACCTGCCTTTAATAACTTTCGACACGACAAGAAAAAACTAGAAAGCTAGAAAGAACAAGCTAGAAAGGCAACTATCTTCTTTTGCTTCTCTAGTTCTATCTAGTCTTTTGGCAAGTAAAAATTTTTGGGGCCTCTCTATGTGTTCAACGATTCAGTGCAATGAGGCTCCGGGACAGCACAATTTTGAGACTTCTTCTTTTCATTACAAAATCGATTTCATCTCCACTTCTCGCGAATCCTTACCTCTTGTTATCGAAGCGAGCGGATGTTTATGGGCATGGGACTGTGCCATTCAATTCACTGAAGTCCGCTCCAACTATTTCGGGATCTCTATTTTTTTAAACAATACTGGATGTGCCATAACTTATCAGAGGAGTGGGATCATTGATCTGATAAGTGGCCACAAGGACTTGAAGACACATTCTCCCTGATCTTGCGACCGGACGCGGACTCCCTTATACTACGCCCCTTTCTAATTCCGCTCACATAACTAGCAAGATTCACCTCCAAACAATGAAGCCCACTAATCAGCTGATAAATTCAGAATAGAGCAAAAATGCAAAGAGATGGAACAGCGTGTGATGGACATGCTAAAAGAGAGCGTATTCGCTGCAGAAAAACGAAGCCTGAAAGAGGTTTGTATTATGCTGAGAAATGGCTGGCACTGGAGGAAAATCGTGTCTCAACTGAAAAGTTATCTTCCTTTAAGGCTTACTGGATAAGTCGACAGGAAGCTGGTCGAACGTGAACGTGCGGTGTCAAATACCGAGAGCAACAGGACGTCGTGGAATCGATGAACATCGATCTAACGTTCACCGTACTTTTCAATTTGCTCAGCAGGTTAGTCGTAGTTAGTCACCGTCAATTATTCAATCAATTTTCCAAACCTTTTTCAGTATATGGCCAATGATATGGCCAACGAAGCCCTCAACACTTATCAGATTATTGTCAAGAATAAAATGTTCCCGAATTCTGGTCGTCTGAAGGTAAGCCATTGAAGTATAGTAAAAACGTTTCTGCTTTCTCTACCGTTATTTTTCTTTTCTTTCTGTACCGCACCAGCTCAGTTTGATGGGGCACCAAACGGTACTCAGCGAAGTCTTTACAGGTCATTCTGAGACAACTTCTGAATTTTTTGACAAAAGTGGCTCACTTGTGCCGTTACGTAGCTTCACAAGAGTTCGCAGGTTCAACCGAAACCTGTTGCTCAGATAACCTAGCAAAAAGGCAAACTGCTCCTCCCAAGCCGAACAGCACCAACGTTCCACAAGCAGATAAAGAGAGCTCGCTATCCCATGGCTAAAGTCGTTTATCCCTGGGTTTTCTAATGCGCCATGCCTGCGTCTTGTATTTGGGATTGAAGGTATCAGTGTCAAGGCAAAGGTGACGCACCGAGCTGTGGCGCTGGCCATCATTCGTGCTACCGTCTTCGGCCAACATATGGACAGGTTTGGACCTGTGCCACTCCCAGTGGAAAGCCACACCTTCTGAGATGGCCAAGGAGGAGGGGGGTGCACAAATGAGGAAAAAGCAGTAGCCCAAATATCTCTGCCCATACGTTCTTCTTTCTTCTGCACTTCTTAACCATCACTAGGCTGCCATCGAACCATGCATTTATAGAACAGACGCGTCCTTGTCACTGATTGTGAGCTGCACATCCCTAGAGGCACTGTCCACGCCAATCTCATGGACGAGAACGGAGCGGAGGCAACTGATCATAGCACTTGCTTATTTGTGCCTTGCTGAATGTGAAACGGTGAATAGTAGGGGCGCGCTAAAGAGGAAGGCACTATGGTTGACCGTCTCCGCCCATATGATCAGCGCGGAGTGATTGCGAAACTGTTGCAAGCCCGTGAGAGTATTGCAAAACTTTCAGGTCAATATTGGCAATATCTATTTCAAGAAAAAGGATTACAACAAGGCGATAAAGTACTACCGTATGGCCCTGGATCAAGTGCCAAGCATTCAAAAAGAGACAAGGTAAAAGAGCATGATCAACTTCTCCTCTTACTAGGGGCCATTGAATAAAAACTGATTGACAGTTGATTAAAGGTAATCGACCTGATGGACATTATCGATTATTTGTTCAGGATAAATATTCTTAACAATATTGGTGTTGCATTCATCAAGATGGGCAAATACGACGAGGCAATGTCTACATTTGAACACTGCGTAGAAGAGAGGGCCGATTTCAAGACGGCACTAAATATGGGTAATTTTTGAAGTTTTCATTCAGAACTCTGAAGTTCTTACAATTGATAACGGCGCAATCGGTTAGAGCGGTTCCAATAGGGATGGAATTAACCT